CACACGCTTAATTTTAGTTTTATCCATGAGTATGGATATTACCAGTGCGTCGTTATGAGGTTGGATGACCCCCTCTGCATCTTCATCATCAAAGGACAAAGTCCCCATGGGCGCGTAATCTTGAGTCCGAGATCGCTTTTCCCTCACCATCGATGTTTTAGTGCGTTTAAGTACTGGTCCCTAAGGGGTATCGATGCCGCCGATGATCATATGGATGACGTGCTACGGTTCTTCTTGCTCGTTTTCTTGCTGAAATCCCTGCTTTTAAAATGGTTCTTCGCCCTATCACTCAGAAATTCCCGAAGGTGCCCTTTGTTAAACAAGCGAGCTATTTCCTCTCTTAGTTGCTTGCAATCTTCTGTTCTGTGGCTATGGGTACCATGATAATCGCACGTTTGATTGGGATTTCTTCGGGCAGGATCGGTCTGCATGGGTCGAGGCCATTTAGTGTCTTTGATGCGTCCGATGGCTGACACGAGAGCGGATGCACTAACGCTGAAGTTATATTCCGATAATTGAGGTGCTTCTATAGGATTGTCATATTTATCGAAGCCGCTCTTACTCATAAGCCCCCGAGAATTTTGTCCTCGATCAATCCTTCGATTGTTATGAACTGCATTGCGTGCTGAACCATCTGCGATGTACGGTCGATATCGGTCTCTGTTCAACCTTTGTTCTGTGTCGATCTCCTTTTGGTTTTTAGTAACTGTCATGTTCTGATGAACGGGTCCGTACGGAGCTCCCAACTGATCATCCTCGACCGTAATTTTTGATTAATATCGGTTGTGTACATCTGCCCAAGTTATCACTGGATACTCGATCAAATTTTGTTTCAGCCGATGTGATGCTTTTGAACTTAGCTCGTTCAACCCTTGGGTGAAAGATTGTACGGCCCAATCATCCGTGACCGGGGGTAATTCCATGCGTTCCATTTGAAATCGGGATACGAATTCCCTCAGCATTTCATTCTGCCTTTGCTTTACTTTGAAGAGGCCTGATTTCCTTGTTGCAACCTTTATGGCATCAGCATGTGCCTTTACGAACGAATCTACTAACATGGCAAAAGAATCGATGGAATTCGGCGGTAAATTGTGGTACCAGATCATCGCTCCCTTCGAGAGGGTCTCCCCGAACTTTTTCAATAACACAGATTCGATCTCATCGTCCTCCAAATCGTTGTCTTTTATAGCATATGTGTAAGAGGTGACATCTTCGTTAGGATCGGTCGTACCGTTATATTTGGGAATTTCGGGCATACATAATTTTTTGGGGATTGGCTTCGGTGCCGTACTGGACGGAAAAGGCTTTTGTATGAATATTTTCGAATCAAGCCCCTTTATCATTGGTGGAGCCCCCGGGATTTGATCGATCCTGGCATTGTATGTTTCCACCCTCTTGTCGTTGGCTTCGACTTGTTTTGTGAGTTTCTCGAGCAATTTAGTAATTCCGAGAGTAGTCCCCGATTCTTGCTCGTTAGATTTCACTATGGCGGGCTCTAATCTGGGGGTGACTTCTCAAAGTGGATTGGAATCCGGCCTGCTTTGCGCGTGAGTTTGGCTCTATAGCTGAGCTATCGCTACTTGTTGGACTTGTAGCATCTCAATGATCATACGTAAGCTGGCCCCGATTTTTTTCGCATTTTGGGTGTCTCGGGCTATGGATCGAGTACCGCCCTGAATGCTTCTTTCAGGTTCGGAACGTTGGTTCGCCTCCAGAGCTATTTGTGAATTGACATCCAATGGTATTTCGGCTCGAATTTTGGGTACTTCGATTCGAGCCTCGGTTGCCAAGCTATCGTTAATTGGCCTTCCGGCCCCGGGTGCCAAGTTGTTGGTTTCATCTTGAAGGCTGGCTTCGTAATCGATCGGTGAAGCCATTTGATTGGTGGTAATTCGTAGCTGATCCGAAATTCAAGATATTTTCGGAAATAAGTGCAAAACACAATGGCGTATTTTTTTAGATTTGTATCAAATGACCACTGTTATCCTCGGCCCTACGGTGGGCGCCAAACTGTTTACCCGAAAAATGGATAGAGTTGAATTTATATGCAGTTCCGAGGATATGTGGCTAACTTAACACAAAATGCAAGGATAAAGAAAAATATAAATATAGATTGCGGAGAATGCAAAATAGATAAGGTTATTAGGAACAATGAATCTTAGAATTCAACAAATAGAATCAATCTAAGAAATTTGAAAGAAAATAATTCTTTACTGTAGAAGAATATAGCACTTTTATTATAATGTAAGCCTGAGAAAAACTTATTCTACAGAAATAGTAACCAAGCCCTTTTATAGTGGAGGGATTTGGCTCTAAGCATAATAAAATAAACATTCAGTGGGCGACCCATGATAAGTCAGCTTTTCCATAATTTCTGCCAAGATTTTCTCTAGTGGGATTGCAACGGCTTTTGTTTGCGAGCTCGATCTTGCTTAGAACCCTCGATTTTGGTTTGAGCTTGATTTCGGCTCGAACTCGTGACCTTGGTTCGAGCCTGATCCTGGCTCGAGCCCTTAAATTGATTCGAGGTCGATGTTGGTTGGTCTCTGGATTATCAGAACGATAGATCTACTCTGCATCATGGTTCGATTTTGATTCGAGCTCGATAATGATATCGAACTCGACACGGATCGGCCTCCCGGGTTCGAGGTTAGTTCGTTCCACCTTCGGGATCTTACTTCGATAAATCATCGTTCGAACTCGATCGGACGTGCTAAGGCCGAAATCTATTTCGACCGTATACAGTATCAAATGTACCTCTGTCATGACCAGAATGGCTCGCTCATTTTTTAGAAATTTTAAATCCCAATTTCTTTCTTCATCGTGTTTAAAATGTCCTAATCACCCTCCGCCCCCTTTTTTTACAGGCCCCCCTGCCCCTTACTTTATACCCCACCCAGCCCCTTATTTTATTTTGTTTTTATTTCTTATTTCTCTTCTTATTACAAGAAACATAGTTAAAAATATAAAAATCAAAATTTTATATTAAAAATAACATAGAAGAAAAGTCTAATTACTTATTCCATATATGTAAAAAAATAAATTCTACAAATATTGATACATTTTATACAAAATAATAAAAGAACATATATTTTGGACGAAGTAAAATATATAAAAACCAAAACATTATATTGAAAATAAAATAGAAAAATCTAATTAATAAAGAAAAAAATCAAAAATATTAATACATTTTATACAAAACTATAAATGAACATATAATTTTGATGAAGTAAGAAATCTATATTATCTATGTTATATTAAAGGAGCTATCTATGTATTATATANTCAAAAGCCACTTGATAATTTTATGATTAAAAAATATTATTCATAAGATTAAGCCAAGTGTTAAGATACTACAAAGCAACTTATAAATTTTATAGTTATTCATGAAAAAATTTAAAACCCCCCAAAAAATAATCAAGATACAATTATAAAGTCAGTAAATAATATATAGAAGCATTATTTATAAATTTAGAAAAATTGAAGAATATGAATAATAGAAGGTTTCTCTCTTTAGACTTTTGAACAAAATAATAAAAAGATTCTCTCTTTATAATATTAAGGATTCAAAATTATAATTTAATAAAAAATAAAGATATTTAAAAAATTATAAGTAAATTACTAAATGGAAAAACTAATCAAATATAGCAATAGAAAAAACTATAATGTTAGGCTATTTATAATTTGAATTAATTGAAAAACTAATTTAAATAATATCACTCAAAACATTTATTGATAAATTTAGACAAATCCTAGAAAACACCTAACTCCAAAACCCATGTATTTACAAAAATAAAAATAAAAACCTAACTCCATCACCAATATCTTCTTAATTAAAAATTTATTATTCTCAAAATTTCTATTTGATCCAACTATGCCAACAGATTTCAGCATTCTCACAAACGGTGATGAATATTACGAACAATATATAAATGAAATTGTGTACCATAGCAAGATTTTTTAGTCGGCCAAAATGTTCTCCAAGGGATATATATCTATCGAATCAGATAACTTTTTAACCTATTAATTATATTACTACTCGTCTATTTTTATATTATTGCACCAATATTAATCAGTTGACGGATTTATATAATAATTATATCTACTATTTCATGAAGAAAACAAAGATGATAAATATTTTTAAATACAAATTTACCTTGAATTGTTTTTAATTTCTTCAAATACTTAAATAACAAAATTATAATGCAAGAAAAATAGTGGAATTTAGATAGACTTGAATGTATAAATATCCAGTGTATTTACATATTCATAAAATAATATTATTTACATGCTTCTTTACATAGTAGTTTTCAAGTAAGTAATATTTTTTCTATGAAAAATTATATTTAATATTCTTCGCGCAACGTGCGAGTAAATACTAGTTAAAATAATAGGCCGGGTGGGGTATAAAAGTAAGGGCGAGTAAGGGGTCTAGTAAGAAAAGGAAGGCGGAGGGGGGATGGGGAGGGTGATTAGGACATGTAGCATTTTAAATAGGATTAAGAATATGATTGGAATTTAACAATTCTGAAAAAATGAGTCGGTTAGTCGAAAGGGGCATAAGCGACCTATTTTGGTCACGCCGGGGGCAATTTTGATACCAACTTTTAACGCAGAGTAAAATTGTTCTATTTCATATAGTACAAGAAAAGTTTTTTGACCATTTCTCGTATTATTAATTGTCACAGATACTTTCCTGAAGGGATTGATATCTACTTTGAAAATATTGGTTGAAAACTGATGGATGCTGTGCTTCTAAACATGAGAAATTTTGGTCGAATTGCTGTGTGTGGAATGATCTCCCAATACAATTTAGAAAATCCAGAAGGGGTTAAAAATTTGATGGAAATTATTTATAAGCGTGTCCGAATTAAAGGATTCCTTTACTTCGACTACTTACCTCAATACTCAAAGGTTTTAGAAATTGTATTGCCTCTTATCAGAGAAGGGAAAATGAAATATATTGAAGACATAGTTGAAGGTCTCGAAAATGCCCTGCTGCACTTGTGGGAATTTACCCAACCCATTTTTTAATGGATAATATGGGTGGTTAACTATGTTCTTTTAACCATTTTGCCACCCCTAATTGTGTCCCAGTCGCCGACCCGGTCGATGCTAACTCACAGGTTGCCATCAATATCAATCTACCAACCGATCCCGAAAATACCTTTCGCAAGGGCCAATGATAAAACACACCAAAGTTTCTATCACGAGAGAAAACATGCACCCGATATTACGTCCCGGAATGAGCCATCTCGTTCAGTGATGAAGAAGTCGAAGGCATCGTCCAGCCTCACAACGATGCACTGGTAATATCCGTACTTGTTAATAAATCTCGGGTTAAACGTGTGTTGATTGATCCAGGTAGCTCGGCCAGAACAACCTGAGTTGCAGGATCAAAGCGTACCGGCAGTCCAGGTATTAAACGGATTTAATATGGCATGCGAGACCACGAAGGGCGAGATAACTTTACCGGTAAATACTGCCGGGACCAAAAAAATAAAGTTCTACATGATCGAAGAGGACATGAGGTACAACACCTTGTTCGGAAGGGGCCATGGGTTCACAACATGAGAGTGGTGCCTTCGACCTTACATCAAGCGCTGAAATTTCCCACTCCGGGAGGAGTCAAAGCAGTCTACGGTGAACAACCGACTGCAAAGGAAATGTATGTTGTCGATGAAGTACGGTGCTTGTGGTTTCAACATAAAAAAGTAGGGAACCGACCAAAGAAAGGGAAACTAAATAGCAATCAATGATACCGGCCTCAACCGAGCCGAAAAAACAGAAGGAGCACAGAGCGAACGATGAAGATGATTACAGCGTCCCGAGATCTTTTGTGAGGCAACGCACACTATGTGACTAGTCAGCTTTTTTGTTAAAGTGAAACATAAGAAATAGGGTTGGAAGGCCAAAATATAATAAGATTGAGATAGAGTGTCAACATGAAAATTGTGATTGAACGGGCTGTCTAGGTATTTGGCCTAAAAAGAACATAAGCTTCTTATCTTACATTACGGACACTCCGCATTCTCTAACGTTGGCTTGCCTAGCAAGTGAAATGTTAGGCATCATTACGGTCCTGTCGATGGGGAATTCCGGGTCATGACAGTTTCACATGTTACTTTCTCAGCTCTCACAATTTTATTTGGAGGTATAAAGGTAAGTTCTTAATCATCTTGATTTATTTTTCTGAATTCATTATGCAGCTTAGTTACTTATAAAAATGAACTTGCTCTATTTACACAGATACGTCAGTGGAAATCTTGGGAGGATTCTATCCAGAAAGAGGAATATGATCCAGAAGAAGGTAATGTCTATTGGCTGCTGAGTTTTTACGTATATTTCTTATTAGTATAGTTCCCTTTGCACTACTCTCGATAGGAAGTTTGCATAAGTACTCACAACTCACGAGTTTAAGTTCTGTGTATTGATAGTGTATTGATTTTTAACATCATCATGTTAAATTGACATAACAATATTTAATTATTCGTACCAAACTTGATACGATAACCAAGAAAATATAATAATGATTTTTTACGACTAGTTAAATTGCATTGATAGTGTATTCATCAGAATGAAACGATATCAGCCTAGAGTAATTTCTCTTTTACATCATTCTAATGAGGATATATTGTGACTGCAGTAATTCGTTCCAAAGTTACACATGTCCAAGACCATGATTTTGTCAAGGGCCGGTTTCTAGGTTTTGGCAAAAGTTCAACTTTATTAAGTTGGCTGGTAAGTGGAGAAGTCTTCTTTCTTAAGCATCCTTTTATGCTTAAAAAGCGCAGCCCGGTGCACAAAACATTACTCGTTCACGTAAGGTCCGGGAAAGGGCCGCACCCCAAAGGGATATTATGTAGGCGGCCTATTCTGATGCAAGCATCGGTGATTGATTACACGGCTCGAACCTGTGACCTATAAGTCACACGGAGACAACTTAACCGTTTCTCCAAGGCTCCCCTTCCATTCTTTAATGCTTATTTTCAATTTTATATATACGTGTTGATGATGTGTATGTGTCTCTGTGTATATTCGATGTCTTATTACTCAAGTATGGTAGTTAAACTAAGACCATGCTTTACTAGTTGGTATGAAGCAAAAACAAAGTTCTTACTTTTTTACAGCAGGTTCATTACAGCGATTGTCTTAAGTTTTTTATACTGTCGGTATATGTAAGTACAATTTCTTTAGTATATCACCAATTCAGGAGAATGACCAGTTGTGTATTTCAGCAAGTTGCATATTTCAGATTCTGCTTCTATGCATTTACAAATCTCTATTTTTGTTCTTGATTCTCAGCATTCTTTCGTCAAGCAATTTTTTGGATCTGTCACAAAATCAGACTATACAACGTTGAGGCTCGGCTTCATTATGGTACATTTACATTAAGCACACGCAGTGGCAGAGCCAAGATTTTCATTAAGGGAAGTCAAAACATAAAGAAATAAGCTCATCAAGAAATCAAAGGGTGTCATTATATAGTATATAAACATATTTTTAAAGAAAGTACCTAGCTATATAATGAAATTTTCCGGCGAATGGGCGTCGGTTTGACACCCCTTTGGTGTATGTGGCTCCGCCACTGAGCACACGTTATAGTCGTTTAATATATTTAGTTATCTGATGAAGCTCAACTTTTGCTAATCTTACCTTAGACTCATTACAAAGGGAATCCGAAGTTCAATTTTCACAAGTATATGATACGTGTACTTGAAGCGGATTTCAAGAAAGTTGTTGGGATTAGGTGAGTTGAACAATGATTACCAAGTGAACAAAATGGAAAAAAAACAAGGAATCATGTATTAGATTGTTCATAGATTTTGAAATTTTTATCAACATAAAAATATTTCCCTAATTAAAGTAAAAGTTTTCCCATCTTTTGTACTAACAACTTGGAAGCTCCTCTTTGAGGCAGTGGCGGATCCAAGATTTCAAAGTCATGGGTGCTCGCTGATAAAAGTTCCGAAAGAAAAGGAAAAACGAATTTAGTGATGGGTGCTCTCTCAATACTTATCTAAAATTTTCGATACTGTCTATGTAAATCTACTAAGCACGTTCAAAGACAATGGGTATAGTTCCATGTAGATCCGCCAATGCTTTGAGGTTACCCGTGTTTTTTCCTCTATGACCAACATCCTCAGTTTCCTAATGTAACGTATTTTCAGTTTAACATTTTTATTCAAACACGTAACAGATTCTTTATATAATCAGCTTCGGCACTTAAAATTACATTTCAGTACTTGATGCTTATCAATTACTTCTAGTCGGCTAAGCCAAACGGGCAATTAGTTCCTGTTTAGGTTTCAACCTGCTGAAATTTTACATTTACTTGTGCAGCTGGTATCTTTGGGTATTTGTGGTCTTGTTCCTATTGCTTAATGTTCATGGTGAGCTATGTCATTTACTGTTTCATCCCTTTTTCTTTATTATCATAAGCTATGTTGCTCGAACACCCTGAAAATGTCGCCGGATACATGTCGGATCCTCCAAAGTAACGCATTTTTAGAGGATCCGACACAGGTGCAGCAGCAATTTAAAGAGTCCGTGCAACATATAACATAAATGTATTTGATCTTGAGCCTAGAGTAACAACTTATTTTTGATTCATCACCCCCTCTTTTTTCTCCCATCTATATGTTTCTTATTTCTCTCTCAATTTCTATTTGTAGGCTGGCACACATACTTTTGGATAGCATTTGTTCCCTTTGGTGTAAGTAATTAGTAGTAGTATTAAAAACTACTAATCTTTGTCCCTTTGAGCTACTAGCAGTATTATGGTCCAAACTTATTTCTTGATGCTTCGGATAATTATACTAGATCAAAAATGGATCCATTTGTTTCATCTGTTCAATGTTCAAGTGTTAATAGAAGGACAAGAAATTTTGTAAGATAGACTCCTTAGTATTGAACATATATTAGAACTCTGCTTGTACCTCATGGCAATATATATAGCTTTAGAAATCAGAACATAGTTGCTAGTCACCATTCTTAGAATATGAATAGTCAAAGGGCAGTCCGGTGCACTAAGCTCCCACTATGCGCGGGGTCCGGGGCTATATTGCGCGGACTCTTCAAAATGCTGCCGTACCCATATTGGATCCTCTAAAAATATACTACTTTTGGAGGATCCGACACGTACCCGGCAACATTTTCGGAGTGTCCGATCAACATAGGTCCGGGAAGGGCCGGACCACAAGGGTCTATCGTACGCAGCCTTACCCTGCATTTCTGCAAGAGGCTGTTTCCACGGCTCGAATCCGTGACCTCCTGGTCACATGACAGCAACTTTACCAGTTACGCCTAGGCTCCCCTTTAGAATATGAATAGTCCTTCAGATTCAATTGTTCAAAAGATGCTGTTTTCTACATCCTTAGCTTCCCTCTGAAAATTCTAAAAGAAAGATTGTGTATTATATATGCAGCTTTTGCTAGCTGTGGGAACTAAACTAGAGCATGTGATAACTCAACTTGCTGGAGAGGTTGCAGCAAAGCATGTAGCAGTTGAAGGAGATTTGGTTGTGAAGCCATCAGATGACCACTTCTGGTTTCATAGGCCGTGAATCGTCCTACTCCTCATTCATATCATCCTTTTCCAGAACTCCTTTGAGATTGCATTTTTCTTCTGGATTTGGGTAATCTTAACCTATGTTGCTCAAACTCTCCGAAAATGTGGCCGGATACGTGTTGGATCCTCCAAAAGTAGTGCTTTTTTTAAGGATCCGGCACGGGTATGGCTACATTTTGGAGAGTCTGCACAACGTAGATCTTAACAACATAACATTAAACTCTTAACGTAACAATTGCTTTAGGGGTTTCTTTTCATTGACAGGCTCAATATCATTTTAACTCCTGCATTATGGGACAAGTTGGTTATATCATCCCAAGACTTGTCATAGGGTAAGTTCCTCCTTCTTTCTCCTCTAGCAGAGGAAAATTTAACCATGGGGGTCACAAAAATAAAGAGACAACACGTCATCTAAGCGTTAAGTGAAAAAACTCTAATATGATGTCCTTTATTCATTTGTTTGGTGCAAACACCGGGCTTACCATTCACATCTATCTGAGTCCAAGATGTCTTACCATTAAAGCATCCAGACCAACTACGCTATAGTTATTGGGCAATACAAACTAATTGGCCGGTCGGCGTAAACTAATTGCATTTGCTAGCCAAACAGTATATAAATTTTGTATATTATAGGTATATAAAACGCATATATACAATAAATATATATTTTTCGGAGCGGCTAAAAATATGAATTTCTCGTATTTTTTTTTATTGATTAAAATGAAGTGATGATTTAACATCAATTTAAAGACTAACCTCCAAACACTAGCTAATAGCTATGCAGCATTTAGAAGTAAAGATTGACATATCTAATAGTGTGCTTCTGCAGGGTGTTTGCTCAATTCCTTTGCAGTTATAGTACTCTGCCGCTGTATGCAATAGTCACACAGGTGATCGATCCTCGACCATATATTTACTATTTGGTTTGTCTGAAATGTTTTACTTATAACTTCTCCTAATGTACTATTGATGCATGAATGAAGATGGGAAGTTCCTTCAAGAAAGAAATATTCGACGAACATATACAAGACGGGCTTGTTTTTTGGGCTAAGAAGGCTAAAAGAAGAGCTGTCAATGGCTCCAGCCAAGTTGGACATAAAGAATCATCCCCTTCTACTATGGCTGTGCAGTTATCACAAGTAGAAATACAAGAATCTGCAATGGAAGAGGGCAATGCCGGCGAAATTAGGCCCGCAGCCAACCAACTCAACTCAAAATTAAATTAAGCCAACAACATTTCCCCCATCTTTCAAAGCTGTTAAACTGTAAAGAAGCCTTGTAAAAGTGAGGAACATTCACTTTTACAGTAGAGGGTAAACATATACCAACCCAAGAAAGAGAAAAGAATGGTCAGAAACGTATTGAACAACTTCCCTAATCTGATTCAATTGAATTATTTGATGCATGGTTCAATGCTTTGAATGACCGGCCCGAAAGCTAGCTAGCCCGTGCTATTTTTACGTCTAAAGCTTTAGACACTAAACTTTTAGCCTCTAATTAATCTATTGTATGAACAAATACCGTTATATCAACCGCAAGAAAGCGACTGACAGCATTAACAGTGGAAAAGGGACAATTTCACTCTCGTTTACATTTTTGGGTTTATAACTTTTAGTTCAATCTGTTGTGGGCAACACGAAAAGTAAAAAGGTGCAATTGAATCAGAAAACCATAGCAACTCGAGAGAAATTCCATAACTTCAAGGAGCCAGAAGTCAATAACAACTTTAAACATCTGAACTCTACGTGCACCTCCAAGTTGAAGAACCGTGACTAATTTCAACATTACATAAGCTTGTTCAATAGAAGAAACAAACATTTTAACAATAGTTATAACAGAGAACCCATTATAAATTAATCCACTTCTACAGCAAAAGCATGAGAATCTCGTTGACACAAAGGATTCAGCATCACATAGTGTGCAAGTACAGCAGTAAGGAATTTCTCATTCTTCGGCGGCACTAGCAGCACTTAGATCCACATTGAGGTCAAGAACCTGAAAAAGATATGCAATTGAGTCAACTAAGTTATGTCCTTCAAAATTCAATACAGTTATTACAAATTATACCACTTTCCAAACGATATCTAGTGACTAGAAATACGCTGTGAGTCCTTTTTTCTCTCTGGCCCCATATTACCCTCCCAACTCTCCCCCAATTCTTTTTTAACTTCTGGTGGCAGGAAGAGAGTAGCTACTGCGAAGGAAAATCACCATTTGATAAAATAATGGTACATCTACAATTTGAGAACATTTTGACCAGGATAGTTTCAGCACAAAAGCTCTGTGGGCACTGGTACAGCAACCCATATACCTACACTCCCGTGCCCCCCTCTCCCACACTAAAACTGGAGGACACAAGAAGACTCTTGCAACAAAAATGTAGATACTATGACAAATTAGTAGAGCATCAAATGTACTTTTTTAAACTAAAGTGATTATCATACACCAACATCAAAGCAAGTACTTTGCTCATTGATAAAGAAAAAGAAAGAAAACGACATTTTGATGTTATTTAAATAGTTAAGTTATGTCCTTATAAGGCCCTTCACTTATCAGCTGTTTGTGGAATATACCCCTCTATCACCAAGAAGAGGGATTTAATGTCAATTTTCATCCATACCTTTAAATTTCCAACACACGGAGAATGAAGAACACAGATATTCTACAAAACTTGCCCAACTGATTCAACTTTGGTCTCTTTCCTTGATTAAACAAGTGCCAAACAACCAAAGCCACACCAGAAACTAAACTGTAGCCTCCGTCCTCTCCCTCTGTCTCAAAGATTCAAGCACAAGGGTTTTTGGGACAGAGCAACTTGTTCCTTGTCTGAACGTGCCAAATGAGTGTCTACTTTATGAAAATAGTATTCTTTTCTTCTTTCCATTTACTCCTCCTAAAGGTTTTCTTTTTAACAGTAAAAGGACTTACTCAGAGGTACCTCAAGGCTCTTAGAGAGAACAGCAAACTCAGAAAAAACTAAATGTAATATCACAAAAAAATGGTTGAAGGAAGTAAAAGTTTGCAATGTAACATCTAATGATAGCAAAACATACTTCTTAGACAGTGCATGTTCAGGCAGTAAAATGGTAAAATGTTTAAGCCACTTTTCACAAGTATAAACTAGTATTTTGGAAATTCAAAGTTTCAAGGGTTCATAGGCAAAATAGAAGCTGTCGCAATGACAATAAGATCTGCCCTAGTAATCTCTAGAGTATGTAGTGGAAAGACCAAACTGAGGTAAATACTAACTCATACCTTTCCAGTTATTTTGGTGTACAAATTGAGCACATCATCTACAGTCGACTCAAAGTGAGTTGTGGCATCATAGCTCTGTTCAAAATAGAGAATAAAGTAAATTGATGATAGATTATCTTTCTGAATAAGTATGATTTTCAAACTAAAATTTAAGACTCACAGTTGAAATAAAACAATTGTCCAAGGAGGGCTCATTGACAGGTTCAGATCTGTCATAAGTTTCATAGAAGATCTCATCCACTGGCCCTAGAAGATTGACGCCCTGCTTCAGTTCACTCTCTGGGTTATCAGTTTCTGCCTCTGTTGAGACAAATGCGATGAATTTCCCCTTTGGAGCAACATTATGAGTGTAAGAACAGCAGAACAGGTACCTGAAGAACCAAATGTTCAAGCATAAGTAAGAGACTTTAGTTCTAAATTCTAAGAGTTTTCGGCAAAACAAGTCTGAATCTAGCGACAGGTTCGACCAAGCCTTTCAAGGAAAGCATCCAGTCTTCAGGACCCAGTAAAAAATTAATCAACTAGGTCAACGTCTTCAAATAACAGTCCGATAGGCATACTCCATCCGAAAAGTTAGCCAATTCTGAAACCAACCCATCTAAAAGACTGAAACACAGCTTGAACTTATTTAAAAACACATGTCAAGTGCCACAACAACACCCGCTGCCTCCACCAACAGAATCAGAGGTAGTGCAGACACCTAATAATGCTAAATGTGGAATTTTTGCTGCCTCCAAGCAAATCTTGAACGAGGGAGGGGCATTTTTGAAAATGTGAGATTTCGCAAAATAAGGAAAAATAATTAAATGAAATATAAAAAGATAGTTCTATTTGTGCAAATTGTGAAACAAATAATCTTTTATCAAATGAACATAACGCCATTGAACAGGCTTTCACGATGAAATACTTTCACTACTCAAGTAAGAATCAAGTTGTCACATATGCATGCTTAATTGAATAAATGAGCAGGCTTTCAAAGGCCAACACACTCTATTTGCAAATGATTTGGAATTTCCAGCTCAACCCCGAGAATATAAGTAAAATTTTTATATCTAACATACTAGGATACTTACATGTCTGATTTGCGACCCAACTGCTTCTGAGGTAGGATAATCTGCACAGAGTGAGAGTCATTGGTATTTGGAATTGGGTGGCTCATAATCGCGATTGCTCTTGCAACTTTGCCAACCTTCCTCACCTGCAATGAGCAGCATGCCTTGGATTTAGTAACTCATCCGACCACTTAAATAAACAGGTCACTTATCCTCACAACGAGTAATTTTCTACTTTCACTTATAACCAAGTAAAATCCAGATTTCTACGAAACATTGTATATCATGTATCAATGATCTATCCTTATTTACACTCAAGAAAGATCATGCTGGCTATTACAGATCCAGAAACCTATTTAATTATTGGCAACGGAGCATTTAAGTGAACAGGTAGTAAAACACTTACCTTGTTGGGCAAGTAGGAAGGATCGCATACAACTTTCTTGCATTNGAATGCCTAAGTTAGCAGAACAGATATTAACAACAGTAATATTCAAGAAAAAGAAGTTGGAAAGTACAAGTATTAACATGAGGGAAACTAAAAAATCACTAAAAGAAGACAAGAAATCTAATCATGAACTCAAAGTAGTACCTGGGGGAGCTCTCCTAATCCATACAAAGGATAAATATATGGTGATCCTCCTTGGAAGCGAGCAAGAGACTCAGCATATAGCTGTTATATTATAGAGAACAAAAACTTCACATATCCACACAGAAACCTTAAACATTAGTAGGAGAATTCAAAAGCAAAAGAATGTGTTTCACCTTCATTCTTTTCACAGTATCCTGTGCTGGTTCATCTAAGTAGCGGTCATCTCTGTGCAGTGCCAATGCATGACCAATGAAGTCCACAGTGTTGTCATCAAGACCGTATTTTCTGTAAAATTATCACATAACTATAAGCAAGACTAATTCTTTTGCAGATGCCCATCAATTGAACATCTTAATAAGTATGACAATAGGCACACAAAAAAAATCAGACCAGGAACTTATATTATACGAAAATGCATCTAAATTAACCAATGAAACTGAACACCAAATAGAAAGCAAAAAATTAAGAGCATACGCAATAAGCTCTCTTGTTGTAACTCTAGTTAGATCCATCCCTTCATGTGTTTTAGGATCACTTTCATTATAATCTTGAACATAAATAAAGAATTTCCGAGCACGCCGCTTCTCAAAAATGCCCATCAGAGGAGATTTAAGTGCCTCCATATCAGTAGCTGGCACCTTGTGGACCTATTTCATCAGGTGTAACAATATTCTAGGTTAGAACAAAGTTGTCCAAAATTTTTCTAAAATTCAACATGTCGCAATTGCACCACACAGGTGAAAGACTATATCCATGAAAAACAACTATACCTTTCCTTTGTTATACACAAAGCTGCCATCAACTGCTTTAAAGTATAAATATTTCGTAACATCGGTATGAATTAGCACCCGCACAAGAGCACCATTTGCCATAATAAACTGCTCCAAAGAACGATTTAGAACATCACAAATAATGGAAGGTTTTGTTTCCATGAAGTAGATAGTCAAAAGAAAAAGGGGAAAACCTTGGGGATCATGTCAACATTAAAATCCCTGCTAGAACCCAGTTCAGCTGGAGGCTTGTCGCTTCCTCTAAACCTCTTCCAAAGCTGAGACATAATAACTCTTTATCAGACAAATAGGAGAAACACATAGAACAAATAAATCAAGCTCGAGATTTGCAGAAAATTACCTGGACAAGATTGAGGGAAGTTGACTCTCCTCCATAGTAGTCATTTCTGTCCATGTGCAGAACCTATTAACATGACATAAGCCTTACTCAATCACTGGACAACTGAAGTAAATAAAAAAAAGAATGTTAAGCATGTTTAAGTTGAAATACATATTCCAAGGCCCTTATACCAAGAACATATTCTTTCCTTTTTTCTTTTCTTTCAACCAAAAATTGACTTGATCAAAGTTCTACCACCCAATCCACAGGTAAAGTTGATCACTCTCTTTTCTTATAAGAGAGAAATTACACGGTTTGAAACTCGAAATGTAATGGGCCTGCCCCTCTACCTTCTCCACTTAAATACTAGGCTTTTGTCCCCAATACGATTCCTACCCATGGCGTACGCCTAACCCACACATCATGTGTTGCCCTCTTACCACTATACCAAAGCCTTGGGGCTAAAGTTGATTACTCTCTTGCATTTGTACGTACATAAACTCAAAAGATTAAACCCGCAACGACATATGTGCATAGATTTTAGGACAGGAAGCTTGTGTGCATAATAGCGTTCATCTCCAATTTACACGCGCTAGTTAACTCAAATATTTAGTACTCATGACTTAGTAGGCGAAGGTAGCTTTTAAAATGATAGTGTTATCTAATAATACTTATATGGTATATTACCAAGTGAAATGATTGTCTTTAGTTTAAGTTGTGTGCACAGTGTAAAGATACTTGCACGATCAGATCACTTATAACTCATAACAGAATTGCACCCAAATAATTATAATATACACTAACTGGTAACCTTATAAAAATGGTAACTATCCTACTATTACAGGTTAAATTACATTTCTACACTATCAGTGTATAAAACTTAAATCCTTACAATTAATTTATCTTGACAATGAAGATCATTGAGAAAAGGGTCAAACCAGGTATAATACAAATCAAACTTTGCATCATAAAATGTCAGAGTTATCAGATCCTATACAGAAGTTACAACAACAAATTACGAACCAAAAAAGCAACTAAGGGATTAAGAAATAAATTCGAAGATCTAATAAAAGGAATACCGATCTGGCAAAAATTCAATAACTAATACCTTAAGACCATCGACGGATAGAAGACCGCTAAGGATGCATTCCTTTAGACCTGTGCCGAGCACAATCACATCATATTCTTCATCCATTTTTTGCTGCTGCTGCTGCTATTGTATATTCGATCAAATCAGAGATGAAATTTGATTAAGCAAAGAAGAAAATGATAGAAGCGGATGATTAGGGTTCTGTATTGGTCAAGCTAAATATCAGCACCAGCAGAAAGAAGAAAGAGTAGGGGTAAGATTTATAGGTAGTAAAAGTTGAGAGAGTAATAAAGAAATTGGATGGATGATGGATCAAGGAAAATGCTAGGAGTAGGAGGGATTCTCACGTTCTCTTTTTTTTTTCTTTTCTTTTTTTATTTTTTTTAGAAGTAGTTAAAGTGCTTAACACAAAACAAACATAATGCTAGGAGGGATTCTCAAGTTCTCTTTGTTCTTTTTCATTCCTTTTTTTTTTTTGGGGGGGGGGGGGGGGTGTTTAATATTTCTTTAAGAAAATGTAGAGTTAAATAGAGCTTGTTAGGTGTATAAATTATTTACACATATAAGACCACCTATAAGATAATGTCAAATAAATCTATATAATAATTATTAATTAGTAATTAAATAAGAAATTACGCTTAAAAGGTAATAATACAAAAAATAAAAGCAAGAAATGCAGAGAGACAAGGGAGAAAGTTTTCTTATTTCTTTCAAGTGTCTACAACATGATTCTCAATATATTTATTTATATGCATACATTGGAACACCAAAGGGTGTTGTAACGATCCGACCGGTCATTTTGTGCAATTGTGCCTCGTTTTCTCTTTTGATGCTTCACACGTGTTTATGGTTTTATGACTTACGGGGTTGATTAGTTTCATTTCGGAAAGATTTCGGGTTGATTTAGACCCTTTGATTCTTGGCTTAGAAGCCTAAGTTAGAAATATTGACCAAATTTTGACTATTGTGAAAACGACCCCGGTATGGTATTTTGATGGCTCTAATAGCTTCATATCATGATTTTAGACTTGTCTGCAAAATTTGGTATCATTTGGAGTTGAATTGATAGGATTTGGACACTTAGTTGCAATTGTTGTAGTTCTTGAACTTTACTTTGAAATTCATACGTTTTAGTGTTCGATTCGTAGTTCTAGATGTTATTTTTGTGCTAGCAAGTTCATATGATGTTTTTAGACTTGTATGAATATTTGGTTTGGAGCACCGAGGGCTCGGATAAGTTTTGGACATATTTTCGGAATGATTTGAACTGAAAATAGAATTGCTAGTGTTGTTGGTGCTCTGTTATCGCAATTGCGAGCACCAGCCTCGCAACTGCGAAGGTGATAGGGGGTCTCTGATGTCGCAATTGCGACTGGCCCCTTCGCAATTGCGAAGTTAGCAGGCTTGGGGCTTGGGTCGATTTTGCGAACAGTCGCTTTTGCGAAGATGTCCATCTTTGGGTAAGTGATCCTAAATAATTTTTAACTATATTTCATCAATATATCTTAGATTTAACATCAAAAGCATATGAATCAAAGTGAAAATTTGTGAAACTTTGTCAAGTTTTTGAAAAAAAATAAGAATTTGAGTTTTAAGAGTCGATTTGGACTCTGATTTTAAAACTAATCACACATATAGACTCGTGGGGTTATGGGTAGTCGAAATCTATCCTTGGATCCGAGTTTTGACCTGGCGGGCCCTAAGTTGACTCTTGTTGACTTTTTGGAAAAAGTGTAAAGATCTTAGCTTTGTCTATTGTAATTGTTTTCCCTTGCATTGTTTGATGATATCAAGTCAATTTTGGTTAGATTTGAGCCGTGTGAAGGCGAATTTTAGGGGAAAAGCTATTTCCAAGGGTTGAGTTGGCCTAGTTGAGGTAAGTATCTTACCTAACTTTGTGTGTGAGAACTACCCCTTAGGATTTGGGATTGATTGTGTTATTTGTGCTATTTGAAAGCCGTGTACGCAAGATGACGAGTAGGTATACTGTTGTATGTGGTATTTGACTGGTTTAGGCTGATTAGACTCTTTTCATGCCTTAATTGAAATGTCATATCATGTTTTAAATTCTCATAGTCAATCTACTCTTACTTGTGTTAGTATAACCTTACATGCCTTATTTGACTTTGTTAACACTTGTTCTACATCTTCCTTGGTACATTGCTCTTATGCTTTAGTTGAAGTTGGTTCCTCTTTCATTGTTACATGTTATCTCTTCCATTGTTGGCTTCTGCTTATTTGAAGTTATTGCAACATGTTATCTCTTTTATTGTTGATTTATCCTCACTTGAAGTCATTGTTACGTGTTATCTCTTCCATTATTGACTTATCCTTGTTTGAAGTCCTTGTTGCATATTATCTCTCCTATTGAAATTTATTCTTATTTGATATCGTGGTTACAGATTATCTCACTCATTGTTGAGTTATTGGTGTTGAGGTTGTGAAAGCCGTTATCACATTTAGGCGAAATTGTTAATTGTTGAGATATCTTCCTTGTTGAGAAATTTACATTCATTGTTATTGTTGATATTCTTGTACACATTGTGGTTGAGCCATGGGCTATTGTTGTGAACATATTGATATTATTGATTATTGGCAAGTTGTGGCATATGGGCACTTGTGGCGTGAGTTGTTATTGTGATGTGATATCGATGCGCATGCGGCGGTATAAGGATAGGGGTTAATATGCATGCGGCATCATAAGGTAGGACTTATATGCATGTTGCTAGTAAGGGAAATTACTTGAAACCACGCGACGTCATAAAGTGGGGCTAAAGTGCGTGTAGTTATTTCAAGAAAAATATTTTCAAAACTATTTAAATGTAAGGCTCACGCGTCGGTATAAGAAAAAATTATGATTGAAATTGAGAAATATGAATACGAGGGTACCTCGTTTATGATTCTTGTTGTATATGAGGCGGTACCTCAGTTGTGATTCTTGTTGTATACGAGGCGGTTCATTGGTATAATTCTTATTGTGCATCTCATGTTGAAAAGAGTTATTTGTAAAACACTTCTTGTTATGTTATTCTTCCTTGTCTTATCAGTTTTGTCTGAGTTGACTATTGTGGTTCTCTTTATTTGCTTCCTTTATGTTATCCATATGCTTACAATTATGTCATTAGTCTATGTTATTTACTTGTTCGTATCATTTATTTCTGCGCTTTCTATTACTTCACATTATAATATTTTCATTCTGTTTATTATGTCCTAGTAAGTGTCTTGACCTACTAAGACATAATAAATTACAACAATTATAAGGGTATCAAGCTGTTGAGTCACACTATGAAGGTTTGGGAGAGGGTGGTGGAGGCCAGGGTGAGGAGGTGCATGTCTATTTCCGAGAATCAGTTTGGATTCATGTCGGGGCATTCGACTACGGAAGCGATTCATCTGGTAAGGAGATTAGTGGAGCAGTACAGGGAGAGAAAGAAGGACTTGCATATGATGTTTATTGACCTTGAGAAAGTGTACGATAAAGTCCCGAGGGAGGTCCTGTAGAGGTGTTTGGAGGTTAGCGGCGTTCCGGTAGCATACATTAGGGTGATTAAGGATATTTATGATGATGCTAAGACTCGGGTGAGGACTGTGGGTGGTGACTCAGAGCATTTCCCTGTGGTGATGGGGTTGCACTAAGGATCGGCTCTTAGCCCGTTTTTATTTGCCTTGGCGATGGATGTACTATCGCGACACATCCAAGGGGAGGTGTCTTGGTGCATACTATTTGCCAATGATATAGTGTTGATTGACGAGACACGAAGCAGAGTTAATGCGAGGTTGGAGGTTTGGAGACAGACCTTGGAGTCTAACGGTTTCAAACTGAGTATAACCAAAACAGAATACTTGGAGTGCAAATTCAGTGACGAGACCCATGAAGCAGACGTAGAGGTAACGCTTGATGCTCAAGTTATTGCCAAGAGAGCGAGTTTTAAGTATCTCGGGCCTACTATCCAAGGTAATGGGGAGATTGAAGAAGATGTCGCACATTGCATCGGAGCGGGATGGATGAAGTGGAGGCTCTCTTCCGGTGTTTTATGTGATAAGAATATGCCGCCAAGACTTAAGGATAAGTTTGATAGAGTGGTGGTTCGACCGGCTATGCTGTATGGGGCTGAGTGTTGGCCAGTCAAGAACTCTCACGTGTAGAAGATGAAAGTAGCAGAGATGAGGATGTTGAGATGGATGTGTGGGTGTACCAGGAGAGATAAGATTAAGAATGAAGCTATCCGGGATATAGTGGGAGAAGCCTCCATGGAGGACAAGATGCGAGAGTCGAGGTTGAGATGGTTCGGACATGTTAAGAGAAGAAGCATTGATGTTCCTGTTAGGAGGTGTGAGAGGTTGGCCATGGAGAGTTTGAGAAGAGGTCGAGGTAGGCCTAAGAAGTACTGGGGAGAGGTGATTAGACAGGACATGGCGCTGCTTCAGCTCACTGAGGACATGACCCTTGATAGGAGGGTGTGGAGGTCGATGATTAAGGTAGAAGGTTAGTGGGTAGTTTTTAGTTGTTCATCGATAGTCTTAGTATCACGCATGTCCCTTCATATTCTTAGATTTTTATTATGTTATGTGGTTTTGTTCGCCTCAGATATTGTATTTCCTATTGCTATTATTTGGTACTACTTATCCTTTATCTCTCAATTTTTCTTTTCTCTTCCTTCTTTCTTCCTTCCTTGCTTTCCTCTTTTTCTTCTTACCCTTACTGAGCTAAGGGTCTATTGGAAACAACCTCTCTACCTGCATTAGGTAGGGGTAAAGTCTGCGTACAAACTACTCTCCCCAGACCCCACCTGTTAGGAACATACTGGGTTTGTTGTTGTTGTTGTTGTTGTTGTTGTTGTTGTTGTTGTTGTTGTTATTGTAGGTGTCTTGACATGGCCTTGTCACTACTCTACTGAGGTTAGACTTGATACTTACTGGGTACCATTGTGGTGTACTCATACTACGCTTCTGCATATTATTTTTGTGCAGATCCAGGTACGTCTGCTCGTGCTGGACGTTAGTGTTTAATTGCAGCTGTTATCTAGAGACTTCAAGATATTCCTACTCGGCATCCGCAAGTAGAGCTGCTTATCGGGTGGATCGAGCGGTTATTTACTCTTAATTGTTCGGCTTATCGGTTATCGGCTTTTAAATTTATTAATCCACTAGACACCCGATAAGATATAAGGCGGATTGGTATCAGTTTAGCTATTATTGGGTGGTTATCCGGTGGTTTATCAGCCTATTTGAATCTGTATTATAGAGGCCTATTTTGGTCCTTCGTGTTACAAGTAAATACCAGCAAAAAGCTAGTTTAC